TCAGAGACAATCGGAATAACAGAAATTGGCTCCTTGTTGACGCCAACCAGACCTCCCAATAAAACATACCCGGAATCTCCTTCCTTCAAGGCCTTTACCACCTGAAGTACAGACAAATAAGGAGACTCCCTTTCTTCATCATGAGATGAGACAGAAATGGTTTTACTGCAGCAGTCAATCTTCACACAGTACTTGGACAACCAATCCATCCCCAGAATTAAATTCACAGAAGCAAGGTGCAAGACAATAAAGTCGGCAGAATATTCCCTGCCTTCATACTTGAATTTCACATTTTCACAAACATAGTCTTCATTAAAAACTCTTCCCACAGCCGTAACAATACGCATAGGAGTTTTCATTTTTTTCACATGCAGACCAAATGCTTCAGCTACATAATCAGCAATAAAAGAATGCGTGGCACCAGAATCAAACAAAACACTAAGCATTTCATCACGAATAGAAATCATACCTCGCACCAAACTAGCTGACCTCTCAGCCTCTTGCTGAGTCACTGCATATACTCGGGCAACTGGAGGTGGGAGAGGTAGAGATGGTTCCTCAACCACAATAGGAGCCGGAGTGGCCTGAATAGTAGAAACTTGTCCCCCATTAAAGGGGCAGTCCCTAATAAAATGCCCAGGTTGGCCACATTTGTAACACAATCTTTGCTCTTTTCTGCAAACCCCAGCATGAACTTTACCACATGTAGCACATAGAGAAGCAGGCTTAATATTTCCAGGCTTAGAATTTCTCGCCTTTTTGAACTTACCATCAGACTGTCTAACCTGCAACCCTTTTCCTTTAGAATTCCCAGAGGTGTTTTTAGGACCAGAATTAGGAGCAGATTGGTCCTTATGCTTCCTTCTGTAATATTCTTGAATATTTTTACACTTTTTAACAAGTGCAGCAAAAGTATCAAATGAGTCACCTGCAAGTTTTTCAGAGATGTTATCATGTAATCCTCTATGAAATTTAAAAATCAAGTCATCCTCTGTAGGTGGAGCTCTCTGGAAATGAGAGTATTTGGCCAGCTTATTGAACTTATTCAAGTATTCATCAACAGACATCTGACCCTGCTTTAGTTCTTCAAATTCACCCTTCTTCCTTATCCGGGCTTCAGCCGGAAGGCATTTCAGCAAGAATTGCCTTTCAAATAAAGGCCAGGTAATAGCATAACCCTGACATTCCAAGGGCAGACGGGTATTTCTCCACCAATCAGTTGCATCATTCTGCAACATATAAGAAGCATACAACAATTTCTGCTGATCATCACACTCCATGACAGTAAAAATGCGATCCAATTCTTCTAACCACTGAATTGCAGCAATAGGATCAATGCCTCCTTTATAATTTGGTGGTGCATGTTTTCGGAAGGCATTTAACATTCTTTCTCTTTGCTCTTTATTAGTGGCTGGCTGTGCCACACCACCCCTGTGACTAGATTCTTCATTCACATCATTATTTCCTTCACCCTCCACAACAATGGGATTATGAGGAGGAGGAACAGGCTGTTGTGGTTGTGGTTGTGGCTCAGGTTGTGGCTGTGGTTGTGGCTGTTGCAAAGGCTGTGGCTGTGGACCTTGCCCACCCGCCCTCACCTCAACCAAGAGTAATCTCATCATTTCAATATTCGCCATTCTGCTTGCTGCCATCATTTCTTGATTGGCCAACCTATTAGCCTCTAACAGATCTTGATTTGCTTTCATCATCACTTCTAGCTCTCGCTGCCTAGCTGCAGCCATATTTTGTTGCGTCTCAGTTAAGGCCATTATCATTGGATCTGGCTGTGAAGTATTTCCCCGCTGGTTTAGTCGGGGTCTAGCCAAATCTGCTAATATTGGATCGGTCGGGTCAATAGGAGGATCAGAAGTCCTTCTTGGGCGAACCATAATTCTGCATATTTCACACAAAGGAATGAGTTAGCTACGCTCACACTCGGTGATCAGACATGCATATCATAGTATTCCAAGAAAAACTCAAGAATATAACAACCCGAACAGTTCATGCAATATTTCACAGGCTCTTCTAGAGAAACTGCTCTGATACCATAAATGTAACATCCCCGTCTCGAGCCGGTTCAATTAACATACATATGATAAAACAGAAAACAGCGGAAGACTTAACTTCTGAAAATACGAGCTAACTTTTTCTTTTTCTTTTTAAATTCTCATTCGTCGTGAACGAAAATCGGGCAGAGTTTCCTCTATAAATCGGACAACTGGGGATTTTCCAATCCCTCACAGAAGCATTTCCTGATAAACAGTTTATACAAATATAATCAAATGCCCATCCATGGGCGCATGCATAACTTGGCTCAGTGCCACTATATCTAACAGCATGCAATCCAACACGTAAACATATCTGAATACTACCTCATCATATAACGTGCCTGAATACCCAAATGTACATGCATCAAAGCGACAGACATGTACAAAACATATACAGGCCATATACACAATAAAGGATCAATATCATGATCCATCAAATGCAAAAATACTAAAATACATCAAACACTCCAAAAAGGTAGTAGCCTACAGCCACTCAAAATCCAATCTGTCAACTGCCTCAGCCACGTGTCGTGTCCCTGCCTAGTGAGGACTCACCGGAAATCTGGGCACCTGAAAATGTGTCCCCAAAGAGGGGTGAGATTACAAATCTCAATAAGCTCCAGGTTTATAGAGAATTCTCCATACCCCTGGCTCACTCCTGCATGAAAGTCAGATACAGAGTATACAAATACAACATATAACAGATATCATAACAGAACAGAGCATATATCCATATCATATCAGAGATGTGCGCCGTTATTCCCAAGGGAGGACCCCGAGCGAAAATCAACGCACGTGTTCCCGAGGGAGGACCCCAAAGCGGAACCAGACATATCAGAGGAGTACACCATCAGTCCCGAGGGAGGACCCCAAAGCGGACGTCCGGGTACTATACAATCAATGGCCAGAGATTGTTACAGAAATCATATTACAGAAGTCATATCAGAGCAAAACATATCATGTTATCAAATAACTCTATATGAATGCATCTATACAAAGCATCTAAATCACAGTCATACAGTCCAACCATAGTTCACTAACCATGGTGGAGCACTCAAGCAGGAAAAGACTCCTTAAACATAGAGCTTACCTCTTGAAGCTTTACCAATACGCTTACTTGTGGAACAAGTTACTTTTATCGCTTCAAGAGATTTCTGATCCTTCTCAATCCCTAGGCACACCTAGAGAATAATTTACAATGCATCAATAAAATGATGCAATACCATAATTATTTCATAAGCATACATTTCATCGCTTATTTTCCTTTCTTTGCATTTTTGCCAATCCTATGCCAATACACAAGTCTAGACCTCATTATAACCGTTGGTGTTCTTTAATTTAATCAACCATTCCCTTAGGAATTTTCAACATAAATCATGCTATTTTTCTTCAAAACTCATCACCTTTATACAATTTATTACAACACATTTTATTTAAAATAAAATGTACAAAATATATCCCTAAATACCCTATAGGTCGAATCCTACAAGGGGAATTTCCAAAGATCCTTCTCTTTTACAATGCATTTTCGTTACTTCATTACAACTTGCAAACACCTAGGAATGCTTCCACTAAATTCCTATTTTGAGTTTAGACACCAAGTCCTTTTTACTTAGGCATTCTTACTAACTCATCCATTTTCACTCATTTCCAACACACTATACCTTCACAATACATAATATAATTTTTTCCACAATAACTCCTACTCACTCCATGATGGCCGAAACCTAGGAGGAATATGCAATAGGACTTTTAAATTTTTATATCACATGGATGCTTACTCAACACTATAACTTCCTAAACAACAATAATCCATCATAAATTTCACATTCTAACATCAATTATTTCCCAACAAAATATGCTCATCAATTTCATAACTTAAATCATCAAAATAATATCATGGAAATAGAGGTTTGTTACCTCAAATCAACTACCCAAAGCCTAGAAGACCTACACCAAGAGAATCTCCATCAAAAACTTCATTTTGCCCTCTTGATGAATAGTGCACGAATTTGGGATGACAAATATCTCCCTCCACAAACGAAATCAGCTCAAATGGAGGGTTGGAATAGCTTCCTTGGATGATTTCCTATGAGATTGGTATAATGGGTGAAAGATTTGGTTGCTTAATCATGGAGAAATCAAAGAAAAACAAAAACAAACCCTAAGCTTCCTTTTGCCATGGCTGTCACGGGTGGGGAAGGGAAAAGGGAGAGAGAAAGTGTAAGGGAATAGTGAATTTAAGTGACTTAGGGGTTTTTAAGCACATGTGGCTTTTTAACCGGTTGTTTTTCTATTGCATATTTTAACTTAACGGACCCGGAACTCACTTATATCTACAGAAATATTTTTATTTTTCTAAAATCATTTACATTAATTTTAATTTGTTACTAAACAATATTCATAATTCACAGTATGGTTTTTGCACCGTTTTAACGAAATGCACTGTGAATCACTAACTGTACTTCGCTCACTTCTGAACTTAACTTATAAACTTATCATTTTCTTGGGCCTATTTTGACTTGCTTGGCATATATTGGACTTTCTTATTCTTATTTCATCAATTATTTATTTCTGGACTCTACCGGTTGCTTAAACAGCAGTACAAAATACCCGGTAGAAACACTATTCACGAGATTTTCACGGAAAGTGCCAGACTATACAATTTTTCGTTCTGAACTCATATTTGTCATCAGAATTTTCAAATTATGTTCCTAAAATTATTTTGCTCATTTTAAGCTCTACCGGTTAATTCACAAAACTGTAAATTCTCCGGCAGAACGCACTGTTCATAACATAGTCATGATTACAGTCAAAATACTCGAAATCGCTCACTGAATCTAATTATGGCATTTAAATCCTTAAATTAAATCTCTAACTAAGATTTACCAGTTAGGGTCATTATAATAACATTGTCTCAAGCAGCTTTAGAAATGATAAGCCATATATATATATATATATATATATATATATATATATATATATATATATATATATGGGTAAGATATTGTAACAACCAGTTAGTATTACTAGCAATATTACTACCAATCAATTTCACCGTTAGATCGATTATATTGATCCAACAGTTATATTTATTTTTATCTTTGTATGGTTATGATTTCTCATATTTAATGTGAAAGCATTAGATATGGAAAATCATGACATACAAAGGTGAAAATAAATATGAAGTATTACATATAAGGAATCATAACCATACAAAGATGAAAATAAATATAATCATTGGTCAACATAATCGATCTAACGGTGAAATTGATGGGTAGTAACACTAATTGGTTGTTACAATATCTTTTCTCATATATATATATATATATATAGGGATAGGTTAATTCTACCTACCATTTTTCAGCCTATAGGGATAGGTTATTCTACCTACTATTTTTCTGCCTACCTTTACCTATCACTCTCAGACACCATTAGATCTTCTTGAAATTCTGATCTAACGGTGTTGGAGAGTGGTAGGAAAAGGTAGGCAGAAAAAATAGTAGGTAGAATAACTTATCCCATATATATATATATGAGAATATAGTTTCTCATGCAACATAAAAAACAACTATATTCCATATATACAGGTGACAATATTAAATGTGGGGAATCATAATCATATAAAAGGTAAAAGCATTAAATATGAGGAATTATAACCATATACCTGTCATTACTGGATGTTGGACGTCGAACGACCGGAGAAATGATAATATATATATATATATATATATATATATATATATATATATATATATAATGTGTGTCTTTTAGATGACACAAACCTAGGTCTTTTAAAAGAGAGACAAACGTAAAGATATATGAGTCCCACTGAAATAAATAAAGGACAAAAAAAATAAGATATAAATCTCACCTCTTATGTCTATCTCTTTCTTAAAGGGACTTAAGTTTCTGTGATTCTAATTCCTACCTATGTCGATTCCTTTGCCCACATGAGTTGTGAAAATATCTAAAGGACCTGCTCGTCAAAAAAAAAAAAGAGTGCTGCATATATAATTAACAAACTGTCCAAGATAGTTGTTCCATTTTCATGTATCATTCTGACCTTTCACAAGCTAGCTGGTTCAAGCTCTTTTAACATGAACCCAATGAATTTATTTATAAAACCAAAATAGGGCTAACAGATTCTTCAACCCAACTTGGCATGAGTATGACCCTAATAACAAAAACAAGTCAATTATCAATCTTGTGAGCTTATATCTGACAATACAGCAGAATCAGATACCTATTTCTGTTTTTTACCCACAAATCCTTTGATAAAGCTTGTAGCAAAAACGACAAGCCAAAAATCGGAGAAAAGCAGGTTGGAAAAGAACAGTTTTTCTGAATAAGTGAACAAGACCCCAAGTTAACTTCAACATATATGCTACAAAAGTGTGCCGTGAAAACAAGTCTTTGATTTTTGGCTTTTATTCATGGGTTACCAAAAGTTTGGGGACCAACATCAATTTCTATGCTCTTGAATCAGATGATGACTTATATTCCTCTTATCTTATCAACCGTGCAGCTGTCTGCACTATTGTTCTTTACAAAGACAAAGCAACAAGAATTCCCTAGCACTATAAGGTTTACCTCTAACTTTTGTCCATTCATTAGAATTCTTCACAACTGTACTACACAATTTTAAAGAACACAAAGAAAAGGACCTTTTTGAGATGGTATATAATCACAGATGCACACTTCTTTGTCCACCTTGTGTGTGCAAGTTCTAACTGTGTGTGCTAAATGCTAATGGGATAACTAGCAAGGCTTTATTGGAATAGTGCATGCATGACCTTGCATAACAAATAAACAGAGAAGAATAAATGGAAGAGCATGGGGGGGGACCAAAACAAGTCAATTTGAGAGTGATAGGCACGATTTTTTGGTGAAGTTTGTGTGAGTTGCGAAATTCTTATTCTCATGGCCAGAATGGAAAAGTAGAGAAGGAAAGAAACACAAATTTCAGGTGGATTTATAATACGGATGGTTGTACATTTATGTCCAAACATCATTTATGCTAATGAAAATTCATTTGCATCATTTGAGTTTTCAGCATTGACATGTTATCAGCCATCACACGTCTGTTTTCACTTTACACCGTAAACAACATATATCACATAAATAACTAATATCATGCAAAATTGCTTTGTGTAACTTGAAGGTTTGCTAGAGCATTGCAGTTATCAATTTGGTTTGAGGACCTAAATAACACAAGCAGCACATACACACATGCACATATATATGGGCCGGTTATTCTTGAAGGTGTAAAAATAAGAAGTTTTACTCTATTTTTATTATTATTGATTCACTTGTATCCAACTATTTACATAATTAAAAAATTAAAACAGTTAGATAAAAGCAGAATCAACAACCAAGAATAAAAATATAACTAACACTAGTGTAAAATAATCGTGACCCGTATAAGCAAAACATTCCTAGTTATAAGTGATTAACTATTAAGTTTACTTCAATCTAATGTTTTTTTTTAATAGTCAATTAAACTCTACTAAATCAGGAATATATTGTCTATGCTCTTCTCATTAATTATTCAAAATCTAAGACTTCCACATCGAATAGAGATGCTCAACCATTCGGATTTAATTTTTATTTTATTTTTTAATTTTCTACAAACAAAAAAGCATTGCCTAAATAAAACTTTTTCTAATTGAAACTAAGGATCCTAAAAGGATTTCTGCTAACATAAGATGCCTGACAGGTGGTCTTCAGAGAGTAGACCTTCTTTTAAGCTATCTAATGTCTTAAAGATTTGTCCTTAAGTTGCCATGAGTGGTCCTGAAAAAGGAGCAAGAGATTTGTTTCCATAGGTTAATGTGAATTATGTTCAACTAAGGGTGAACTGAAAAGTTGGTTATATAAGATATAAATGAAGCCAAATCCTCACTCATTGAACTTAGATATGGTTGAACCGTTTATTTTTGTCCGCTATATGTAGATACATTCCACGGTGAAAACTGGCATCAAGTACTGAGTACGATGGCATCTTGTGAAACCATGGTACTAGCGTGCTAGGTCATGTCAGCACCACACATGTTGTGGCCATAGTAGTACAATTGCAGATTGACATCATTTTTGTACCAGAAAGATTTTATGAGAACTATTTTTCATAATTTGAAACACTACAACTTAACTGCTTAATCATATAAACATGATCAAGTATTCATACAAGGCAAAGTGGAAAACGAAGATAGAGCAGGGTTCAAAAGACCAACTAGGAAAAGCTGGAAAGAACAAAGGAACAGTTTGCTACTGCTCATTTATGTTAAATAGGTGAGTTTTCTTCTTTCTGCTCCCTATGTCCTTTAAGGCTTCCATATTAAAAATTTGATATGTCTCTCTCAACTCTATGGAGTCTAGCCTTGCCCAGTGCTATGAGTACTTTACAGGCTTAAGATTTAAATTGCAGTGGACCAGTGGCTCTCTCCCTAAACCACAACCGATGAGGGTGGGATGAGAACAATCCTTATACGCAATCTTACTCTAACATATTTACAAAGAGGCTAGTTTTCAAATTCGAACCCGTGATATTTCATTTACAAAAAAAATAGCTTTACCATTATTTCAAGCTCGCCCTCTTTAGTGGTGGGGTAGCTCTCTCACTATGCATCTTAATTAAATACTTAATCTTACCACTCAAATCTTTATGTTACTCCTATAAGTGGCAGTGAAAAATAAGAGCTCATAATTTTCTTTTTACATTAGTTGTAATACAATCGATTGCTCTATCAATTCTGATTCCTGTTGGAATCTTTCTTTGCATATCAAGCCTGCTTTGTAGGAAGTCACATTCATTTATTACTATTATTATTATGATTATGATTATCATTATTATTATTATTATTTTGGAATTACAAAAGATTGAAGGCAATGGGTTGGCTATGCATGTGATATGGGTCCTTCATCTGCGTCACATCTGAAATCACAACAACAACAAAATAACAAGAACAAACAAAAGCAAAATCCTCTTCTTCCCATTGTAATTCCTTGAGTTCCAATAGTTAAGCATTTATCATTGACGCGCTTGGAGTTATATGAAAGCAACACTATCACTTTCAACCCACCATTCATCAAAATCAATACCCACTTCCCACTTTACTACAAGTGTTGGGATTTAAACTTTCCTTTATTAGCTTATCATTAAAGACAAAACCAATCTCCAGAACCTTACTCTATGCACTATTCCCCTACCCTATACTAATAAAAGAACACAATTAACAAAATGGAACCTGTGGTCCACACCCTTTGCACCTTCTTTTCTACCTTTCTGCTTCATATAAACTCTCCCTCCTCTGTCACTTCATTGCTCCCAAAACTCAAGGTTCTACCATTTTCACTTGCCCCTCCGTTATCTTCTTCCTCATTGTCACCAACACCTCTTTGTTAACTCTCACAATGGAGGCCAGGACTATTGTTGAGAGGAAGAGAACATTGATTGAGAAGGTGAGAAAGAATAGCACAGTTGAAGAAGAAGTGGAAAATGAAGTAGAAGAGGAGGATGAAAGTGGTGTTGGTGATGTTGGTGTTACAGAAGAAGAGAAGAAGAAAGTTGGTGGTGGGAGAAGAGGGTCAAGTGGTGGTGGTGGAGGGGTTTCTCCACCTTCATGTCAAGCAGAGAGGTGTGGAGCTGATTTGACTGATGCTAAGAGATACCATCGCCGCCATAAGGTGTGTGAGTTTCATTCCAAGGCTCCTGTTGTGGTGGTTGCAGGGCTGAGGCAGAGGTTTTGCCAGCAATGTAGCAGGTTGTTCATTCCCATGTCATCTTGAGCATTTTCTCTTAAGTGAATTTGTATTGTCTTTTAGCATTTTGTTTTATATGATAGAGTTGATCTGTTTTTCTTAGTTCATTTGTTCTTGAAACTAACAATTATATTTTTGTAAAGGAATAACTAGCACTAGTACTAACACTGCCTATAAACCTTCAACTAAGAATGGGCAAATCCTCGTACACAAGACTTATTTAAGGGTGATGGTCGATTATACACGGCCTTATCTTTACATTTTTGCAAAAAAACTATTTTATACTCGACCCATGACTTTCCTATTACAAGGACTAAGATGCTCCATAGCTCGCCCTCGAAGAACAGACTACTCCAATGAAAAATATGCCTGGATCACTGACTATAAAAATTTGGATCTTCTTTAAACAAAGTATCACTTAGGAAACATATTTTATGCATTTAACAGAAACACTCTCTAGCTAGGAATGTTTCAAATATTTAAACTTCAAAGAACTTTTTCCATGTTCATCTTTTCAGAAACCTATGATGAGTCTGTGCAGGTTTCATGACCTGGGGGAGTTTGATGAAGCTAAAAGAAGCTGCCGGAGACGCTTGGCCGGACACAATGAACGGCGCCGGAAAACCAACCCAGAAGCTAGCAATGAGGGCAGCAGCAGCCACAACAAAGGCCATCACCCCAAGGAAACTCACTGCAGGCTTGCTGATGAGAGGGGAAGGATTCAGACAAACATACCAGGGAGTTCTGGCTATAAATCTTTCAATATCAGATGAAGCCAAATTGTTCAGCCAAGCTCCCTCTCTTCTGTCACCCTACGGTTTCTTACAAGCCAAGGCATTTAATAAAGACCACTTTGAATGTTTACCAGAACAAGAATTTAACTCATTAAAAATTATAACATCCAAAGTTGGTGTGTCTTATGCTATGTAAGCTAGTTCCCCTGGAACTCTATGTTTACCTATTTAGTGAGTGTCTTTTGATTCTGTGTCCCTTACTATTAAGTGTTCCATGAATGCACCTATGAACGTTGTACCCTTATCTTCCACTGGATTAGAATAAAAAGCAATTGCTTCTTTCGACTAAATTCACATATTTATTTCAATTATTTATAATTTCTATACCTCTTGTATGCTATGTGCTAATAGATCCCATTAGGTGCTAGATTCCGCTTGAAACTCAAACTAATTACTCAAAGAAGATACATTTTAATGCATTCTTTTTTTCTATTATGGGTTTGCTGTAGATATGCATTTTTTATTTCCGTTTTCTCATAAATATCTCCACAATATAGTTGGAACCTCAGTTTGCCTATAGATAAAGTCATAAAACGGTTACAATCATGATCCTTCTCTGCTGTATCATGATTAAATGCTTTTGTTCATGAAAATCGGTCACCCTCCATCCTTTTCTCCAACGGATGTTGGAAAGGGTCATTCTCAACTTCATTCAGAGAGGATTTCCCAGGTACAAGAAATTGTTGTAACCTTACCCAATTCCCCACACATCTCAATCTCAATACTTGAAATGACTATGCAGTAATTTGCAAAAGGGTTTTCACGATCATGAGATTGTTCAAACTTCCTTGCATTCATACGAATTAATTTGGTCTACACAATCCATAACTAAATCTTTTTTTACATTTTTACATCAAACAACACGTTATGCCAGTTGGTTTGGATGAAAGCAGGTAAGAGATCACACTCTGAATGCCTCGGCATAATAACGCCAAAGGGATATCCACCTTATATCCTTATACAGATACTAAAGTATATGTTACACTTCCAAGCTTGTAAATCAGAAACTACGATGGGAGTTCTTTGATCAATGAAATCTCACAACAACGCACGAGATATCATCTGAGCTTTTCCTGTTACGTGCTTCTTCAGTAAGGTTCTTTGCTGCTGACCGAGCATCCTTTACATCTCTGACAGCATCAACGGCTTCTTGATTTGACATTACCTGAAATAATTTCAACAAACAGGAGTGAGTAGTGCATACATATACATGTGTGTATCAAAACATGTATCTATCGAGTATATAAATTGCAAACCCAAAGGCTCCCTGACTTTGGGATAGTAGGCGTGAAGGTTAAGTATACACAACCTTATATGATGTTATTAAACTCTAACCGATCATCGACTTGGTATTGGGTCCATGAATCATTGGTTCAACCGATTAAACTAAATTTAAATTATATAATGAATATATCAAAAGATGTATATTGACAGACAATTAACTGTAGTCTAATGATAAGTGCTACACTGTCCATTGCCTGGACTCAGCTGGTTAATGGTTTGATTTCCAGTTCAATCAGGGAGAGGTCTGGTTTTAATAAAAATGGTTTTACCCTTATATTTTTGGGAAGAAACTATTTTTCATAGTCAAACTTGTGACACTTGTGACCTTAACATTACCGCTACCCCAAGGCTCTCCATCATGTAACTCAGATAAACCAAAAAAAAAAAAACCACTTCCCGTTAAACCCGACTAGCGAGTGTGAGGTGGAGGAAATCATTGTACGCAGCCTTACCCTTGCATAATTGTAAAGAGGCTGTTTCCTGGAAACGAAACCATGACCTTTCAGTCATGAAGGAACAGTTTTGCCACGGCTCCGGTTCGCCCCCTTATCAAGTATCTCAGATAACAAAAAAAAAAAAAAAGAACACCTACACTATTCAAAAGGTGTGTGCATCATGCTTCATTATTTATGAAATCTTACCTTCCATAACCCATCACTGGCTAATATGACAAACTCTGCCTCATCATCTATCGTCTCCACTGTCACATACGGTTCAGAGCTTAAGTGTTTCTTCAGGCTTTTGTCACCAAATGCCCTTGACACTGCTAACTGCCCATCAACCCGAGGAACATCCCCTGAATTGATCACAAAAGTTTTATCCTTAGCACTGAAAAAAAACTCCATCCTGCCTTGAGCAAAACTTTCTAGAATAATATCAACTAGATCAGAAAAAAAGCATTTAGAACCATATGATCATTGAGCTACAACCCCCATAACTTGATTAACTAGTGCAACAATTAATTAAGATCAAGGCAAAATTATCTTAAATTTCAAAACATGTCATACCTGGGAAGTTTGATACAAAACCACCTCTGTTTTTTATATCCTCACTTTCTGTGGTTGGTTCATGATCCACTGACAGTTGTTTGGCCACGCCATTCTTGCATAAGACAGCCCTAGAATCCCCAATATTGGCCACTACTAGTGTCTGACAATTGATCAATATTGCTGTAACAGCTGTTGAACCCCCTCTACCCAATTCACCTGATTTCTCTAAAATAGTAGAATCGGTTATAATATATGCTCTCTTGACAGCATTATCTGGTTCTGTCCAGAAATCAGGCTACATGAAGAAATAAGAGATGAATAGGGGAAAAACATGAGTTATAGGCATATACATTATAACATTATATCCCAAATCCAAGGTTTCAGCCTCAAACTACATCTAAACAAAAGGGTATAAAATTGCAACATCAAAACAATAACTAAAACAGCTTGAACAATTTGTCAATAAGTGTAGTGAAGGAAAAGGAAAAAGCACAAACAAAAACTTTTCATAGAAAGCAAGAAAATCCCATTACAGGAGCCCCCATTACCTCTTTTAAGATATTATCAAACAAATGAGACCGCAAGTAATCAGGTACACTGTGACCCGAGTGGCCATCAAATATTGCAAATAAACCCAACTCATTGTTTTCAACTTGCTTAAATTGAGCAACAACATAGTCTTCCATGGCATGATCTGATCTTCCCTTCACCAAGTGAAAGCCATGAGTAATATGCTTCGACATCTTGCTCTTTCCTTTCCCTGAATCAGGATCAGATGAGCCCAAAACCTTTTCCTGCAAGCAACATACTCATATCAGAAGACTGTCACAACAAAAAAAACTCAGAACTATGTTATTGGTGCAATGGATACTCAGGTGTGGGATTTTGAACTCTTCTAAACATCGGCAATTTATCTAACCAAGTTGAATTTGATGAAGTATAAGACATTATGGTGTATTTTCAAAGTAAGTAGCTAAGGGCATCAATTTTTCTAGGACTTCAAAAATAAATTTATAAAAAAAAAAAATACTTAGCTTTTCTTATATCAATAATTGTATAAACTATATGAAATATTCTTTTGCAAACAAACATGTTTGTAGATTTTCTTTTATTTCATTGCCAAATCATATCATGTTTTACCCTCCAATCAAGTTGTCAATAAAGCAACAAGTAGCAGTAAACAAAATGGATTACATTTCTTATCCCATCAGGATCATCTTGCTTTTTGCCACCTAACATAACATAAATCTGATTGAATGATATTGCAGCTAGCTGGAATTAACAAGTTGCACACATAGGATATTAAAGGCAACCCAACCTTCATAAGGGACATAATTGACTTTTCTCTTTCATTCTGTATCTCTATGGTCAAAAAGTTTAAGACATACAGTTAAGCAACCCGGTTTTGAATCCGTGATTCACACTCATATCATAGTCATGGAAGAGCATTTAATTCTGAAGGTTGCTGGCCACATAAAAATTGATGTTTTCTGACATGTAGCTTTCCCACCATCTCCATCAATTAACCAACTCAATACTTTTTATATGATAGTTCATACACAAAGCAACAGATTTTGCAAATTTTCTGGAACAAAATACTCTAATGTAATTTGTAAAATTCTATGCTAGTTAGTTCTGGTTCTGAAATAACATAGTATGTACTTGACATAATCTGATACATTATGATCACCCATTACACAAGTTCCTTTTTTTTTTTTTAAATGATCCTCAGTACACAAGATAAATCATCAATTTAGTGACATATATTTCACATATAGATCCGAATCCGAGCTAATTGAAAATTTTGAACTTCAGAATTCAGAAAGGTAAATGGTGACACTCTTCACCAGTCAATGAAGAAAGAGCTGGGGGTGTTTGTAACAAAAATCATTAACAAAAAAATGGTGGGGTTTATCAAATTGAGCAAGATATGCATACCAAAAATATATTTGAGCATTATATGCAGCCCACTGAACAAGATGATAAAGATAAATACGAACAAATGAATACTCTCCACCATTAAATTGAACACAAAGCAAATTGTAACAAAAACAAAGCCAAAGAAGCATGAAAAATTAAATCAAATATGATGTACCATTTAATTAAAATAAAACAACAATAGCACTAATACCAAAAGAAAACAAAAGGGCGATAAGTCCATACCTTCATCTTATAGAAGATTTCTTTGCCAGTCATAGCTGAGTCTCTGAAGGATTTATATAGATTTAAGAGGGTAAGTGAGTATAGCCACGTAGAGTTTTATTTTTTAATATATTTTATGCAAATAGTGAACGAGGCTGAGAAGAAGACACGGAGAGAAGAGGTGGAGAGGCTTAAAAAAGAAGAGAAATGGAAACTAAAGAGAGAAGGGAAAGAAGAAGAGGAAGACAGGTACGAGTGTAAGATGATGAGGATGATTGTCACGTTGACACGACTTTCATTGCTTCCCAATACTATGCCGCTTTCAACGCAATTATTCAGACGCGTTCGCCACTTACCTCTTTACTTCTTGTGTCCCCACTTCGACTCTTTTCATGTTAATCATTACTCTACTTTATATATAACATTAAAAATTTAAAATTGCTGATTAATGTTTGTGAGATAATAATTATCTCTAATACACGCAGAAAAAAAGGAAAAAAATATAAATATATATGAGTCCATATAAAATTATGTTAAGAGAAAAGAGAAAAAAATAAAATATAGATATCATATATTTTTATCATAAAATTTTAGGACTTTGATTTCCTCATGTTCTATGAGAATTATTTTTTATGTTGTGACTCAATTAGTTGCAGAACCCATACGTATTAAAGGATCATAACACAATAAAATAATTCTCATGCAACATGAAATGTTTTATGAATATATAAAAAATAAAATATTTTCTATAACGTAAAAAATATTGATTTTTAAAATAAAATAAGAACCAAAAAGTAATAATGTAACATTAAAAAATAAAGCGATATGTATAGCAAGTAGCAATCCATCACTCAGAGTTTATTACAAAATCTTTCTTATTTTAATTACTTTTAACATTTCTTTAATTTTTATTAAAGTTTGTCGTAACTAATTTGAATTATTGGTGATAGAAATTAGAATAGTAACGAAGAACAAAATTAACAAACAATATGTAGCATTTACTTCCAAATCTTCTCTTATCGCCACATCCTTTATCCCTTATCCTCTCTTAGATTTTACTTCGATCTCTATGCAAATCTTTCTTTTTATTGTCCTTACTTTCCTCTTTTCCCTGCAATTTCCTTTTCCCTCTCCACATTCTTCTCTCCTTCTCCCATGTTTTCTTTCTTTTCTCTAGACTTGTGCAAAATATCTGTTACAACTTGACACCGCAACCCAAAAATTAATAATTTATAATAAGGGATTAGATAAAGTTATCTCATCCCAACAAAGTTGTTTTAGAATTTGAAAATAAAAAATTCAGAGTATTTTTTATAAAATTCATGATATAAAAAATAATAAAAAATTTAAACTACGCTGAATTTTTTTTCCCTCGACCGCAAAACAATATTGTTTTGAATATCTTATGAATTGTTTACGACACTAGCTTTTATTAAGATCTGTAACTATAATGAAAAAAGAATTTTGTCTTTCCTAACATTTTGTAAGAAAAAGTTAAAAATTTTATTTCAAAAGTTACATAAATTTTTATAGAAAATATTATTATATTATTTAATAAGTTTTATATAAAAATTTATTAAATAAGGTGCCAATAAAATATTAAATTATAATATAAATTTTTTACTAACAATACATCAAAATTATATTTAAAAAATATGCTCAACATCATGTTATTATTTTATTTTTAATGACATCAAAATTATTTTTAAAAATCAATTAACATCATTAAAAACTCAAATTTAAATTTTTTAATTTTTTACGATCTTATTATTATCATATCATTCAATAGGTTTAATAATTACTGAAATTATTATCATATTTTAAATTCATTGAGTAACAATAAAATAAATTTCAAATAATTCCAATTAAACTGTATGATCAAACTAGTACAAGAATATGATATTTCAGTATTAATTATATTAAATTAACATCATAAAAAATTTAAATTTAATTTTTTTAATTTTTACAATTACATTATTATCATATCATTTAATAAATTTAATAATTACAGAAATTACTATCATAGTTGACTTCATTGAGTAATAATTAAATAAAATTATAAATAATTCCAAATAATCTATATGATCAAACTAATGCAAGCATATGATATTTCACTGTTAATTATATTAAATTGATGTCATTCGAAAAGGGAGTAACAGCATTAAAGTTTCTCTATTTTTTTTCTTGTTATCTTAATTTAAAATCCATGAGAGATTTAGGGAGTGTATTGGATTAGAATTTTAAAATATTTTTTTGAGATAAAAGATTTTATAGATTTTAAAAGACTATTTAGAATTGGAGGGACTTTAAAGATTTTTTTAAAAAACGTTTTTTACAATCAAGATTTCACAAGATTGGATTTTAAAGGATTTTAATAGAATATATAAGATTTGAAAGGACAATATAGATTTATAAGATTTAAAAAAAAAATCATACAAATTTTTAACAAACATTCAAAAGTAAAAGAGTCAATAAAAAAATGGGAAGATTATATTTACAACCTTTTTTTTTCACAATATTTTACAACCATATCTTAACCGTTGATTTTCATCAATCAACAGTTATCATTCATTGCAAATTAAATATTAATTAATGAGTTTGATTTGCAAAAATAATAATCGTTGATTGACGAAAATCAACGGTTTAGATATGATTGTAAAAGGTTGTAAACAAAAAATAGGTTGTAAGTAAAACATTCCCCATAAAAAAATAACAAAGAAATGCAATGAAATTAATAAATAAAAAACCTAATATAATTTTTAACAAACATTTAAAATTACTAAACAACAGTTTTTCACATATCTAAAGTTATACTAGCCCTCCATGCATTAGCATCTTCTCGTTCCTGCTCTTGGGTTTGACCAATGGGTTGAAAATTATCTTCTTCATTTGGTATCAAAGCTATGCATATATGATTATAAGACCCAATTTTTTTAATTATTAAAATAATTTTAAATTTGCATATAGAACCTAAAGTTCATGATAAAATTTCGTTTGGAATTTTTTGCAATTAATCTTGAAAATCTTGGGATTTTTGTTATATGTGATGAGAGTTTTCTAACCATATATCGTATGCATATTTTCATTGAATATTTTAAGGAAATTTTAAATATGAATTTTTGAGTCTTATTACATGAAAGTTTTATTAGAAAATTTCTCAAATTTTTTTCAATCGATACATTGAAACCTTAAATTGTTTTGGGGACAAAAATTGTTTGAAATTGTTTCCTCTAGTGAAGGAATTTCGTTCATGAATGTATTGTTACGAAATATAGGGTTTATCTTATGAAAATTTCAATATTTCTTTAAATTGATATTGTTTCATTGATGTAAAACGAAAATTGGTTTGAGGGTTTTAGTTTTCTGTTATTTTTCCATTATTTTATGTTTTTGTTAATACAAAAATCACATCTTTTTGTGTTAAGAAAAACCGCGGCCCATAACTTGAAAAATTATTTTTTAAACCTCCAAAATTTCTCAAAAATGGCTCAAAAATATATTGTTTTTGAGATAGATTATATTAAAATCTCATTGTGGTTTGTTGTTTCTGGGTTCTTTTGTGATGAAAATCGCTCAAAAATATGTTGTTTGTTTTTAGATTTGACGAAGCTCCCATGGCGGAAGCCGATTTCAAGCGGGTCAACCTGTCAAAGGAAGAAGAAAACACTACAATAGAAAATCTCAAGATATCCTAGGGGTTAGGGTGAGATTGTGAGAGAGGCATCCTATTTATATTTCTTACTAAAAAGTCTCACAAAATCCTCACAAATAGAAAATTCATTAAAATTGTTAGGTTTTTGAATACCACAAGATTGTTTTTCCATTGTTTAAAATCTTGATTGAATACCAACGGATTTGGACGGACTCTAAAATAATCTTTTAAAATTCTAATCGAATACCACATGACTTTTTTTCAATCCATTAAAATTCTAATTAAATACCAATGAATTTTTTGTGCAAAAATAATCCATTAAAATCCTTTGAAATCCCAATTTAATACACCCCCTTACTCTCCCTCAATTAAAATTACTCGTATTATGCATTAAAAAAATACTACTACTATTATTGTTACCATCATCTTCCTCCTCGTATCACTCTCATCATTAATATTAATATTATATCATTATTATTTTATTATTTAAAATTATTCATTAATACTACTTTTGAAAATGAAATATTCCTATATTTTGGGAAAATAATATAGGTATGTTATTGTCCAAAACCTTACCAGGCTATTTCTGAGGGAATGATATAGTCTGGTAAAAACATCGACCCAATGATATCTATCCTCTTTTGTAATCTTAGCCACACAAAAATCAAAACCCAACGGCCCAAATTTTAATAAATAAACTTTCGTTGGCCCAGTCAAACAAAAGCTTTTGATCCTCTTAGATCGACCAGTGATTACTATTTATTATTATTGTGAAAAATTAGTGTAAAAACTTATGTTTTTATATTTTTACTAGAGTGGTGCCTGTTAAAACGCAAGTAAAAACTGTCCTTGATAAAAACTGGTAAAAATGCCGCATAAAAATGTAAAAACGGTAAAAACTTACATTTTTACCGTTTTGACCGTTTTTACTTAAAATGAATTTAAAAAAAAAAAAAGGTTTTACAAAAAAATCCAATTTTTTCCCCCAAATCATATGCATAGTATCTTGATATCTTTTGTTTGGATATATGTCTTTTATAATTATGTCTTATAAATCTGCAATTCTATTATAAGTTATGTTATGAGAATCGTCTTGTGTTTTTGGATCATTGTGTGCATTGAAAGAAGTGAAATTATATCATGATGAGCGATGATCCAAAATCTAATCTGCAGAGAGTATGAAGCAGTTAGAACATATTGGTTATCCATTACTTGTTAGTTATCACTGTTTATAGTTTTGATACTTGGTTATCAAAAATAATTTTCCTTTTTAGATAGATAAGTGGCTCAACACACATGTTCATTATGTGATATTTTTTTTACATGCATATATATAATTTTGTATCTTGACATAAAGTAGAAACTTTACGTTTTGTGTTGTTTCTACGTTTTATGTTTCTGCCACCCTTTTCCGTTTCTACGTAGAAAGTCGAGTTTGACAACATTGTTATTTACCGCTAACAACAACCGTCGTATGACATATAAAAACCAATAATATACAATGCGTTTGATTTAGATTCTGACATTTTGCAAAAACTCAAGAATGTTTCATAAAAGGAAATCGATAGCTCCTTCAAATTGCAGGGAAAATAATTTTAAACAAACAGAATTTTGTGGCATTAATGCAGACATTGAGAAGGAAAAAAAAAAAAAAATTAGTTCACGTATAAGATTAAACGACACAAG